TCATAGTATATTAAGGCATAAAAATTCATAAAAACGACAGTATAATAAGGCATACAAATTCATTAAAACGACATAGTATAGTAGGGCATAAAAAGTCACATAAACGTCATAGTATAGTAAGGCATAAAAACGACATAGTATAGTAAGGCATAAAAAGTCATAGTATAGTAAGGCATAAAAAGTCATAAAAAAGTCATAGTATAGTAAGGCATAAAAACGACATAGTATAGTAAGGCATAAAAAGTCATAGTATAGTAAGGAATAAAATGTTATAAAAATGTCAAAGTATAGTAAGGCATAAAAAGTCATAAAAACGTCATAGGCATAAAAAGTCATAGTATCATAAGGCATAAAAAGTCATAAAAACATCATACTATAATAAGGCATAATAAGTCATAAAACGTCATAGTATAGTAAGGCATAAAAAGTCAGAAAAAGTCATACTATAGTAAGGCACAAAATTCTAATAAAATGTCATAAAAACGACATAGTATGGTAAGGAATAAAAATTTTAAAAAACGTCATAGTATAGTAAGGCATAAAACGTTATAGTATATCAAGGCATGAAAACTCATAAAAATTTCAAAGTATAGTAAGGCACAAAAAGTCAAAAACGTCATAGTATAGTAAGGCATAAAAAGTCATAGTATATCAAGGCATGAAAACTCATAAAAATTTCAAAGTATAGTAAGGCATAAAAAGTCATAAAAACATCATAGAATCGAAAGGTATAAAATGTCATAAAAAGTCATAAGGCGTAAGGCATAAAAAGTTATAAAAACATCATACTATAATAAGGCATAAAAAGTCATAGTATAGTAAGGCATAAAACGTTATAGTATAGTAAGGCATAAAAAGTCATTGTATATTAAGGCATAAAAAGTCATACTATAGTAAGGCACAATATTGTAATAAAATGTCATAAAAACGACATAGTATGGTAAGGAATAAAAATTTTAAAAAATGTCATAGTATAGTAAGGCATAAAAAGTCATAAAAACGTCATAGTATAATAAGGCATAAAATATCATAGTATAGTAAGGCATAAAAAGTCAGAAAAAGTCATACTATAGTAAGGCACAAAATTCTAATAAAATGTCATAAAAACGACATAGTATGGTAAGGAATAAAAATTTTAAAAAACGTCATAGTTTAGTAAGGCATAAAACGTTATAGTATATCAAGGCATGAAAACTCATAAAAATTTCAAAGTATAGTAAGGCACAAAAAGTCAAAAACGTCATAGTATAGTAAGGCATAAAAAGTCATAGTATATCAAGGCATGAAAACTCATAAAAATTTCAAAGTATAGTAAGGCATAAAAAGTCATAAAAACATCATAGAATCGAAAGGTATAAAATGTCATAAAAAGTCATAAGGCGTAAGGCATAAAAAGTTATAAAAACATCATACTATAATAAGGCATAAAAAGTCATAGTATAGTAAGGCATAAAACGTTATAGTATAGTAAGGCATAAAAAGTCATTGTATATTAAGGCATAAAAAGTCATACTATAGTAAGGCACAATATTGTAATAAAATGTCATAAAAACGACATAGTATGGTAAGGAATAAAAATTTTAAAAAATGTCATAGTATAGTAAGGCATAAAAATTCATAGTACAGTAAGGCATAAAACGTTATAGTATAGTAAGGCATAAAAAGTCGTAAAAAGTCATAGTATAATAAGTCATAAAACATCATAGTACCTCATAGTTTCCCAATTTACTTTCCACTGTTGGCTTTTTGTTGTAATTTTCACTTCTTTGTGAATAAAATTCTTCATTTTTTCATCTGTTTCACTGAATCTTTTTGTTTTTTCTGGTTAACGTATTTTTTCATTGATACTTCCCTAGATACCTGAACTTTAGCAGGGAGCGTAAGAATGCCATAAAAATGTCATAGTATAGTAAAGCATAAAAAGTCATAGTATCGTATGTCTGTTATGTGCTGTAGGGTTGTGGTGTGTGTCCTCCACTCTCGCCTTTTCTCCAGCAGGTGATTCGACACAGCTTCACCTGGTTCCTCAATCAAGAGCTGGATCACAAAGGCGGTGTGAAGAGGCCTGGTCAGAGCCAGAATGGGCCATCCGGTGGTTGACAAGCTGTGTGACTTTTCTCCCAAAGATAGCTGCTCAGGGCTTTAGTGTTGGAACCTAGCAACACTCTTAATTTGTGGTTGTGTTAATTTGGGTTATCTTGGTTTTAGTGTAGTTTTAGTGTATTCCACTGTCGGGTTTTTGTTGTAGTTATTACTTATTTGTGAATAAAATCCTTTATTTGACTGAATCTGTTTCCATTAACCTTTTTGTTTTTGTCTGGTTCACTTACTTTTTTCATTGTCACTTCCCTATAATCCCTGAACTTTAGCAGGGAACGTAAGGATGTGTGTGTGTGCGTGTTTGTGTGTGTGTGTATGTGTGTATGTGGGAACAGAAAAGGCAAACAACAACACATTTAGAACAGGATTGAGTTTATTACCTAAGAAACTTATTGAAAGTGTTAAATGCAGTGGAGTCTCAATGCACCTGAAACCGGCAGCATTCCCAAAAAAAAACAAAAAAAGCAGAGAGATTCTCTACAAATGTGACAGAAAGAGGAACTGATGCAACCGTTCAGTTCTCAATAACTCCTGTGGTAACAGTGTTGTACCTGAAAACTGACACTCGCTTACCAATAAACTACATCCTCCAATTATACCCTATCTAATCAGTCATATATTAATACACAGCTCTCATCAAACACCCCTCCCCTTCCCTCCCCACCCAAAACACATCTCTCCATCAGTATAAGTAGCACAAAGTAATGATCTTTTGTACATTCAGTCTTTTGATACCATAGAAACAAACGTATTACAACAAAAACAAAATTGAAGAAAAGACCAGCTGAAAAATATTTACTCAGAATCACACAGTGAAAAAGAGACGAATCCTCATGGAACACAAACAGCAGAACGCCCGAGTGACGCCAGTGAACAAATCAAACACACATGGAAATCAGAAAAGGTGGTAATGTCACACGTCTGGTGCAGAGTCCACTCTGCAAGGACCCTGCAGGTACTCACAGGTTATTGTAACACAACACTCACATATCACCCCCCCCCCCTTCTGGTGCTGCAACCACACTGTAAAAAAATAAAAAAAGATTAATTTAAGAGTTTAGTCTCTTTTTTTTTGTTTAAAATTCCCTGCTCATTTTCTTGCTGAGCTGCGGCAGAGGGATACGTGATACGTGAAGTGGGAGGAGTGTCTAGTTCCTTCAGTGTTTTCCTTCATTGTGTATTAACATTTACATTTTTCTTCTTTTCTTTAATTTTTTGGTAATCATGTTGTTTTGTTTTTTACTCCCATCAGTTTGACATGATGGACAGCAAGTTGTAACATTATTTTGAAAAGTTCTATTCATAAGAATTTTACTACAATATAGTCACATGTGAGAAACTGGAAGCAGCAAATATTTGGATTAAAAAACGACTTAAACACTTTATTATGAAAATAGTCACTTATTAATTTAAGTAATAGATTGTTGTCAATTCTGTACACCGTTCTCGTCGTATTTAGACAGTTATTTCCTCCCACTGTGGTCATGGTCAAACATTACAAACTAGTTGTTTTTGAACGTACCCCTCGCCTTAAACTCAAGTCCACTTTTCTTTTTTTTTTTTTTACAGTGTAGTCACAGGAGTTGCTTCACAACCCGTATGAACTGACTGATATACAGCGAACCTTCACTTCCTGCGAGTGTTGCATTGAAACACATTTGATAAACTGTCCACTAAAAAACACTGATGTTTGCTGAACGCCTCACAGAAAAGAGTCGACCTCGCTAATTTAATCCTCATCGTTAACGTGTTAATGTACAAACACAGGAAAGGTTATTATTTAAGAGGCCGTTAATGACGTATTCAACATGTTTACACACACACATGCAACACTGACTGACAGAAGCTTGAAATGCATGTTTGGATATCAACATACAGTATGGCTGATGGAGCTGTGGTGATGGCTGGATGCCATGTGACGTGTATAAGTGAAATATTGTTTGTTACACTCACACACACTCACATACACTCACACACAGATGTGAGATGTACTGGAATGTTAACAGAATTGAAAACCAACAAGGTGCTTTAAGGTTGATGACTGGGTGTTTAACTGCAGGACGGGAACAGCTGACTCTGACCACGTGTACCAGTTCACTGTTAATCTGATTTCCAGTTCCAGGGTTAAAATGACACAGTGAGTGGCGGTGCAGGCGTCAGAGTCACAGCGCCCTCTGCTGGACACACACACAGGCTCAGAGGGAATAAAATACTGATGTTGGTACAGTGGAAGAAAACAAGAGAAGACAGCGGAGAAACAACTGGGAAAACTAGGAATAAATGATGCTCTAAACTTTTTTGTGAATCCTGTTTCCTACAGATTCAGGTCTTATTCAAATCGGCATCTTAGCTGTATTTCCCCTGTTATTTCAACTTCATTTTTAATTTGTGTAACAATTTTATTTTATTTTTCCTCCTTTTCTTCTGTATAATGTACATTTAAGGTGATAAATGGCGAAACATGTTGTGAAGGAATGTATATCTGATTATATCTGATTATATGTTTTGTTTTATTAAGAAATTAAGAAAAAGAAAAAAAAGTATTTGGCTTAAACTCCTCACCTACTGTCTTTGATAAATACATGTCTGTACTCAGATATTCTCTATTCACTTATTGTCAACAGAAGAATGTTGCTTTTTATTTAGTTTTTGTTTTCATTGTTAGTTTCTATTGTGATTCTACAGCTTTTCACTTATTTTCATCTAAGGGTTGTTTTATTCTCTAGGACGTATAGCGACCACCTAGTGGAGCTAACGAGGATCAAAATAAAGACTAACGACATTCTGAGAGACGGACTGACTCCCCAGGACAGGAACATGGCATAGAGCTGTACGTAGCAATTATTTTCATTATCCATTAATCTCAATATGTTTTGATTATTTTGGTCATTTCGGATACAAAGGGTGAGAATACAGTGAAAAATACTCAGCAGAGTTTTGTCTAAAACCCAAAGATGTGTCATTTATAATCACATTAAATGGTGAAAAGATAAGAAAATAATCCGACATTTGAGAATCTGGAATCAGAGAATTTGTCATTTTTGTTTGACAAATGATTAATTATCAAAATTATTTCAATTGTTTTGTTTTTATGGTGATAAACTACAGTAACTTCACTCAGATGGGACGGACCGGCAGGGCTGGGTATCCACCGAAATAGTTTATACAAGTGATGATGTAATACCTGAGATCCAGCACTTTACATTGACAGATACAAACATGTGTAACAAACATTACATTACTATTATTATCAATCAATGTGCTGATTATTTTATTGATTAATCATATTGTCTATAAAATGTTGGAAAACAATGAAAACAGACTGAATTGATTAATCATCAATCATAAAACCGATGTCTGTCAGTGTTCTTCTGATCAACTAATCAAAAATAAATAAATCAAACAACTTTTCTTAAATTGTTTAAAAACATGTTTGTTCAATTCTCTAATGTTAAATATATAAGAAGCTGTACAACAACACTGCCTGAACAGGGACAGTCTAAAAACCGATTAAATTTTGATTGAACATAAAACAAAATTACAAATTCGACCAAAAAACTTTCATCACATATTTTGGTTGATACCCAAAAAAAGAAAAACACTGAGGTTCGATACCCGGCCCCACCAACCACTCGCCGCTGACACATACTGGATATCAAAGTACAATTCCTTGTATAGAACTCGATAATTGGAGCTCAGTCTGAGAGTTTGATTACAACTACAGATGCAACTAAAAACCATTTTCATTATCAAGTCTCCACATATTTTCTTCGTTAATCATTTGAGCCATAAAATGTGAGGAAAAAAAAGGAAAAGTTGCGTCGTCATGGTTTCCTGACGCCTGCAAATGTCTGTTTTGTCAGTTTATCATCACACAAACGTTTTGCTAATTCTGTGGATGCATTTAAAAAGCACTTAAAGATAAACTCTGTATATTTCACTGGATACTTTCTTGTATCCCTGTGTGGTGTGTTTCTAATCCTATTGACTGAGTCTAATTGTTTATGGCTCTGTAAAGCACTTAATGGGCCGGTGTAGTGCTTTCTTATGTGTTTTATTGTTTTTTTTTTATGTTTTTCCACTGATCTTTACTGTTTAGTTTTTTGTATCTGGAAGGCCCTTTGTGACTGTTGTCTACAGAAAGTGATATACAGGTAAATTTTACTTACAAATGAAAGAAAAGCAGCATATGCTCAAAACTGAGAAGCTAAAACGGGGAAAAGTTTTGCATTTCTGCTCCAAAAAGAACAAAAATGATTAATGGATCATGAAAATAGTTGCTGTTTAATTTTCTGACTACTGACTAATTGTTTCCGCCCTAATTAAAACAACTCTTAGGTTCATCTTTTGGCCATTTTGAACTTCTGTTAATTTAATTTAAGCATCACTGTAAATATTTTAAAGTGTCTTTGTTAGCGAGGAGTTTTTCAGTTTGCATTAGATCCTGAGCAAATCTGGAAGTCCTTCACACCTCACTGTTTCTAACTTGAATATTTACAGTACAAACCAGCAATCGTCCATTCAAAGATCAAACCTGAACTTATTGTTTTTCTCTATGTCTGACAGAAATGTTACGTGAGGGTCTGAAGCCCGGACGTACCTTACAGCTCGTAGATTAGCTTCATATTATCAACAGTGCACAACTCTGATGTGCAAATCTGCTTTTAACCAGCTCGAGTGTTTTTAGAGTCTCAAATGGACGGACACTTCAGTACACACACACACACACACACACACACACACACACACACACACACACACACACACACACACACAGCTTTGGCACCCAGACAAAAGTGAGGAATGGCAATGCAGCGTTCAGTATGGAAGGCTAAACCTGGAAGAAAGGCACCGCCAAATCAAAATAAAATTGTTATATAGAATATATATATATATATATATATATATAACTATACGCCATTGTTCAAGTGTATAAAACAACATAAAATAATAATCGTAATGGAAAGCACATGAAGGAATGGGGGATGGAGGTGAGAAGTGTGAGCAGAGGATCTACACAACAAGACGAATAAAATCACTCTCACTCCAGTCGTGTCCAAAAACTACGTTCCAGCCATAGATGATTCATCAATTTCAAAATAAAACAAAAACAAACAAACAAACAAAAAAATCTCTAAAAAGGTTGAAGCAGGTGTTTGTTTGTTTTAACAGCGGGCAGAAGGAACAGCACTACCCATGAGCCTCCTCTTCTGTGGAGCTTTCCTGGGCTCTACTGCCACCTGTGGGACCCGACCAATGAGAGGAGAGAGCTGGGGTGAGCGAGGGGTAATGGCAAGCAAACACTCACATATACACACACACACACACACACTCAGGTGATGGAGGACATTTAAAAAAAGAGGAAGGATTAAACCGACACTGACTGGGAACGTGAACGACGGCACAAGAGAGACGAAGAACAGCTGCGGTAGAACATCTGGGTTCTCTTGTGGGAGTAAGAACCTCACTCAAAATCTCATTAACATTTCAAATAACTTAATTAACTAAAAATCCAGCCTGAGAACTAGGCATGAGCGATATCCAAAATTTAATATCTCGATATAGTCCAGCCCAAATATCGTGATAAACGATATTATTGCGATATGCAAAACTGCAAAAAGAATGTTGATACTATGAAAAATATTGCATATGGTGGGAAATATGATATATTATTGAATAATATCAACCCCTACTGAGGGTTGAGGACTAAATGTGCTTTTATCAGAGGCTGTTTCTCGTCACTTTTGTGCCACCTTGTCACTGTGACTCGAGGGGATGTGACGCGTCCTCAGACAGACGAACGGGAGGTCTTCATTTCAATATTTCAACAATAAGTTTAAAGAACAAACCTGATGACTGAACACACACTGTAGTTTATTTTGAGTCCCACACACACTGCCCTGCTGCACTGAATACTCACTAGAGCATCAAAATGTGAATTAATCCGCCGCTGAAAATAGTCCCTGACAAATGCTCCATTTCCTCTGTTTGTTTGATTAAAAACTGTGATTTAAAAGACTCACGGGCTTCAGACAAGAAGTCAGACATCAGTATGAAACCTACCTTAAAATCCCATTTATCTACGCATGAATAATGAAGCTATTTCTAATTATTATGAATAGTTTTAAGGAGTTAATTCATTGTACATTAAGTATTTTAATGGATAATTTGCACAGTTAAATGGATTTTTAAGAGGCAAAAAAAAATTTAAATGGACCAATTAACACAAAGCCATTTCTTGATTTATAACTTAATTTTTCAATAAAGTTGAAGAGGAAGTAGCTTCTTAAAAGGCCTTAAACTTTAAATAACATCCTGTAATTACAACAATGTAATCCAAACATACTGTAAGAAAATATATTGTAATCCATTCATTTATTTATCCAGTAATTTATCCCAAACTTGGGCCGAACCACTGAGTTTCCACCTTAGTGGAAAAGTAAGGTCATCTTAAGTTACAAAATAAAGCTGTACCTGTCATGTTATTTTATAAATCTAATGGGGTTTCATCCTTTAAATACACTTTATTCTACAGGAAATAACCTGAGAAAACACCTTAATATATTACAATCCATTACTTCATCCATTAATTAACACAGATCTCATGTAAAACCTATTAAATACCTGAATACTTAATTTTTTTTAAATCACCTGAATTAATTAAATAGCACCTGAAAATATTTCAGAACCTTAAACCAAAGCCTTTAATTAATAATTAAAAGATGTGATATGAATGTCTTAATTAAGGGGAAGTAACTATATACTATTTAAAATCTGCTTAATTTGTTTTTAAGTTTAATATCAAACACCTTTATTTAGTTTTAGGTGTTTGGTGTGTGTCATTTATTTTAAGGGATTGTTGTTTCATAGTGCAATAGTGTCTAAAATATTGGACCTCCAATATGGCCGCCTGAGGACACCGCTCATCCCCTCTGGGTCGCTCTAATGTTATTTATAACACCTGTGAGTTCCATGTGACTCGGTGCAGACGTGCAGGTGATGACAGAGAGACGGAGGAGTCACGTCTGTGAGCGTCTACATACCCAACACAGAGTCGTGAGACGATGTCAGGAAACAGCAGAGAGGAGGAAACGACACAGGATGAAGAGACTAGAGGTTTAAGAGCCTCACGTACGCACACACACACGTGCACACACACACACACACACACACACACACACACACACCCACACACACCCACACACACCCACCTACACCTGACTCTGAAACCAGACAAGAAATTTGTCTCATGAAAATAAAAAAACATCCACAGAGACAGAGTTGAGTTGAGAAGGTGAAGAGTAGAAATAGTCCTGGTACACAGTCAGTGTGTGTGTGTGTGTGTGTGTGTGTGTGTGTGTGTGTGTGTGTTGTCTGTCATGCCACAGACAGGCTGCGTTTCATTTACCTCATGCAAAAAAAAAACAAACAAACAAACAAACTAACAGTAGTTTTCAATGGTATCAAAGAATGAAAAGTTTACAGGAAACTCTGGAGGAGACACCAGAGAAGAAGAAGAGAAAGAAGAAGAAGAAGTGACACGGAGGCAAGGAAGGAAGAAGAAAGAGAGAGAGAATTATTTTAGTTAAAACAGGAAAACACATTCCTAAAAATCCTACAAAGGTGTTTTGTAAAAAGAGTTTTAGTGAGATTTCTCATCACCATCATCATCATCATCATCATCATCATCATCATCATCATCATCATCATCAGGGTTAGTTTTGAGATCCACAGGTGGGGGTGTGAGTGGGGGGGGTGGGGGGTAAGACGGCGTTCACAGCAAAGCTACCTTGTGTGGTGTTTCTGTCGTTGAGCAGCTTGGTCTGACTGTTGGGCAGGATCTTAATCTCAGGAGGATCTGGACTCTGGCCGGCACGAGACGCCATGAGAGCGTTCAAATACTGGAGACGTGTCACCTGCAACACACAAGGAACTGAGCCTTAAAACCAGCCGTCAGGACTTCTGGAACTTTGTGATGTCACAACAAAGCAGTCACCAAGCCCCGCCCACCTGGACCCACCATCCAAACCTTGCAGGATTTGGTTTCTCTGAGTGTTTTTACCTGAAATCTGCTATATTTTTATTGGATCACTCAGAAAACAGTCAGCCAATCAGAAGAGAGGCTCAGAGCCTCCTCTCTTCTGATTGGCTCACCGACCTGTTGTTACTAGAGCTCCAGAGAGAAGCCTGAGAGAGGAGATGTAAAACTACTACTGCTCCCACAACCTGATTGAAGAGGCGTTCACAGCTGCTCTCTGTACAATTAATTGTTGTGAAATTACTAAGTGTGATGTTCGTGTAATGTTTATCTAATGATAATATTAATTGACATGATTTAAATTATTCTTTTTCCAAGTTTATTATGAAGCTATATCATGAATGTATATGTTGCCAGGTGTGACATGTACACACCCGTATGAGCTGCAGGTCGGTGAGAGCTCGGACGGTGTAGTCGGGACAATAGCTGGACGGGCTGGTGGCGTCTGCTGACTCAAAGGGATCCCTGGGAGAGTGACGCTGGGTCGACACTGGAGACTGGTGCACTGTTACATCACACACACACACACACACACACACACACACACACGCGTCAGCACAATATCTGCAAATCCTGCAAGTTTCTTTTTATAGCCACATTTGTGCTTCATCATGTGGTTCTGTAAACACAGTAGAGTGAAACATCACTCAACAGGAATCATGCGCTTGAAATAATCAGGTGTTTCATGTTTTAACTTCAGCAGAAATGATCAAACATGACAGAAAACGTTACAGACATTATGTTTTTATTTCACAGTCTGACTGATGACGGTTTTTCAGGCTGATACTGATCGATTTGTTTGGGGTTTTAAAAAAATCTGAGAACAATTTATCAGCTGATATTTAACAGAAACTGAATCTTGACTGTGACGTCTTGGATCTGTGGGTTTTTTTGTTGTTTGAAGTTTTTAAATCTATTTTATTGGTTTTATTTTTACATTTTAATCATTTTTATTTCTCATGTGCATCAGTTTTCCTGTGTGCTCGCCTTATCATTATTATTATTATTATTATTATTATTATTATTATTATTATTATCTTCATTCATCTGTAAAGCACTTAGAACTGCACTAAACTGTGTGAAAGGTAAACAATTTATTTATGTATTTATAAACAAAAAGTATCAAATATTATGAGGCTGCAGCTTCTCAGATGTGAGAATTTGTTGTTTTTCTCACATTTGTGATGAAAATAATCAATAGTTGTTGCTGTAGTCAGATGTCAACGTCCAAATGATTCACTGTCAACGAACCAACTTAAAACAGTGTCACCTGATGACATCATCGATCACAGTACTAATAATCAAAATCTAATCCAATGGAGACGTCAGCTGTTTGGTTTTTACCTGATTCTCCATCTCACCTGAGTTTACTTTATTTCATTGTCTTGTTCCAGATTTGTTTCATTTGTAATCTTGTGATTTTAAATAGATTAAAGTTATTATTATTACTATTGTTATTAATCATTATTATTATCATCTCAGTGTAAAATGTTTAACAGGGTGGATTCTTTCTGTAACTGTGATGCACACGTCTTCCTGCAGTTCCTGGTCTCACCTGAAGATGGCAGCGTTAGCGCAGAAACACCGTAGTACGTAAACGCGCCATTTTCAAACTTCAGCCCCTCTTTTCCGATCTCCACCTCCACGCGGCCCTGACAACAAACAAACAGACAAACAAACAAACAGACTTTAGTCTCATTTTAATATAGTTTCTTCCCTGGTTTCCTTCTTTCTGTTAAATCGAGAAAATGTGAACTCTGAGCTGCCAAAGATTCTCCCGCAGCTCTGTGATTACAACAACTAGTCAGTGTGTCGTGTAACAACAGGCTTGTCATGAAAACAAACAGTGGCTCTGCTCAGGATGAGCAGAGACACTCCAGTAGATTCATGGATGGATGATGTTTTCACTGCGTCTCATCCCAGCTGCGAAACAAAACCAGTCAGTGTCGGTTACTGCAGCTGTGTCGTCTGTTCGGACTCTGACTGGATCTTTGTCTCGTTTTGGCAACACTTAACTTAAAGAGCTTTTATAACCAGTAACCTTATAAAACATAATGGTTCATAACACATTAAAATGTAGTTGTTGTGTGTTTATTAATGTATTTATCAGCATCTGTAACTGGACACCTGCGAGTGGAACAACTGATGAACGATAATATAATAAAACACAGTTGTAATAATGTAAAATATCTTCATAGAGAAATTAAATTGTTGACAAATACAGTTAAATAAACAATCATGTCCGTATATCTGCTTATAACTGGATATTATAAATATAAATATATAAAATAGTTTGTGTTATAAACTATTTATTACATTTGCTTTGTGAAGATGATTGTGGGATTGTCCTTGTGTGTGTCTGTGTGTGTCTGTGTGTGTGTGTGTGTGTGGGTGTGTGTGTGTGTGTGTGTGTGTGTGTGTGTGTGTGTGTGTCTGTGTGTTTTTATTGATGTTATTATGTCGACAGTTTTATTATCATTACTGTTATTCATGTATTTATTTTTCTTTGAATGAATCTATTAATTGTTTTTGAAAACAATCTGATGCGACTCAGTTCATTTGTCCTCAAATTAAAAACTGAAATAAATAAATATCTGATTTATTTCAGAAAAGTCACAGACCTGTGTGTGTGTGTGTGTGTGTGTGTGTGTGTGTGTGTGTGACAGACCTGCAGCAGCAGGATGAAGTAGTCCACCGGGTGGTTGCGGGTGTACAGATAGTGGGCCGGGCTCAGCCGGTTGCCGGGGTCAAAGTGCACTTCCTGGTTGACACTGGGGTGACGGAGCAGGTGGAACAGGACCCTCTCTGACACACGTGCGGGGCTGAAGTGCTCCACCTCTGCAGGGGTCAAGGGTCAGACAGTCAGACAGTCAGACACACGGTGCATCAAATACAGACTGTCGACCTCGAGTAACTCTGTACTCTGTGAAATACATAAGATCTATAATGTGATCAGATTTAAATAAATTGATCACCTGTCCAAGGAGATGAGACAGAACCAGTGACTTCTTTTAAACCACGTTTTAAAACCCATTTTTATAGACTTGCTTTCATGTGATGTCGTCTTTGACCTCGTCTCTGTGCTGTTTTTGTTTATATCGCCTTCGAGCCTCTTGCCGTTATTGCTTCTGCCTAAATTACCAAAGCACTTTGTAAATGTAGTTTTTACAGGTGCTATATTTAAGTTATTATCATTATTATCATGATTCCTGCGTCTGGCGTGTCGGGGATATTGAGGAGTTGAAGACAGATAAATCTGAAACTTGTAAATGTTAGAATCTGTAAAGGACATGAATGTGAGCAGCTTGTAAATGACACGACACAGTTCAGGTCGAATAAAGTTGAATTTAAACTACGAAACGATGAATCCACAGGTTTGACACTAAAAGACCCAGATAATACGTAACAGTGACATAATGATTACACTGCTGTGTTAAACTGTGACTAATTTACTCAGGTAAATCTCTCTCAATCTTTCCATCCCGTCACATTCACACAGGCCTGTGAGTAAACATTCACAGACGCGAACACACACCTCTGGACAGGAAGCGGTGCGTCGCCAGCAGCAGCTGCGGCGAGGTGCGGATCTTGGGTTCTCCTTCGGGAGGCTTGAACAGAGAGAACTCCTCGTGGACGCTGCGAGGCTCCAGAGGGATCTCCAGCTGAGGGAGGGGCCGCTTCACTTTCCTGTCCACTACGGGAGGAGGAGGCGAAGGGTGAGAGGTTTTAACGAAGAGCTCCAGAGGCTGAAGAAACAAACGCGTGTACAGAGACTTACAGTAGCCGTCGGATTCATCCAGGATCTCTGATTTGATGATCTCCTCGATGACGTCCTCTAAAGTGACCAATCCCAGCACCTCGTAGAAAGGATCCCCCTCCCCCTCGTTGTTCACTTTCTGGACGATGGCCATGTGAGAGTTGCCTGGTAGAAGTGAAAGGGTCAAAGGTCAAATCACAGAAAGTTAAGCTCATTTTTAAGAAATCGAAACCTCTGGTAGCTTCTAGACACGAGCATCGCTTTTGGTTTTATGTGACCAGCTTCTGAGATTTCTGTTTCCACACTGACTTTAAAATGAACTGCTGTTTGATTTTCATTTTGAAAACTTAAAGTCCTGGTTGCGTCAAACATTGCTCTCCTTCTGTGAGTCATAACTCAGTAAAATCTCACCACACAGACACGATACACATCATTTTAGAATCGGTGTCGCCTACACTTCCTGGGAATATCATTACCTGCCATGTTATTACAAATAAACATTCATAGATCTGCTTAGAAATTATTGGGGAAAAAAAACAGCAATCGATGCAGCTGCAGAACTTGCCTGAGAATTATCATGTTTTTAAGTTTTATTCAGAATCAAATGGATCCAGTGACGGTTGTCTGTACACGCATGGTTACGCTGCAAACAGGGAATGGTAATAGCTACTTCGGCATAGTTTTGATGGGGAAAAAAAAGTGAACAGATAAAAGGCTAAAAACCAGGAGCTAAAGTTGTAGCCCGAAGCTAACTCACTGACTCCATGGCAACGAAGGAGGGCGGTCCACAGCTCACCTTTCTTGAACTCCTCCAGCATGGCGTCCAGTTTGGTGTCGTTGAAGACATAGTGCAGCGGGTGATTGTAGAACTTGGTGATAGTCGTCATGGGGGTGCAGTCGTCTGGGTCCACCAGAGCCAGGTCTTTCACATACAGGATTTCCACAATGTTGGACCTGAATAAACCAGACCACATGTGAGTGAACAAAGAAAAAGACACAAGTACGACAGTATTATTCCATCAGCTGTGAAGCTGTAACCAAACATTTGTTCATTATCAATACATCTGACATTTGTTTTAATAATCAATTGATTGTTCAGCATATAAAATATCTAAAAGATGAAAAATGCTCATTGTTGACATCTTTTAATTATTTGTTTATTTAATTTAATTCAAGTAAAATTAAAAATATGTTGCGTTTACTGTCATAGAAAAGTGTGAAATGAACAAATATCCACATTTGAGAAGGTGGAACATGTGAAATTTGCTTGAAAAATTATTAATAAATTATCAAAATTGTTGCCAGTTAATGATCTGTCAATGAATTGATTAATTAACTAATCATTTCAGCTTTAGAGCTCTGGTTGCTTTTCCTGAAGTTTGGGGAAATAGTGAAACTGCCATCAACAAACTACAGCTTTTGTTCGTCTAAAGATGAAAATAAAGTTTTGAAAGGGCCCCGTTGCCGTGCCAACCTCTCCTCCTCGTAAATGGGCACCCTGGTGTATCCGCTCTGCATGATCTCAGACATGGTGGAGAAGTCGAGCACGGCCGAGCTGGGCAGCATGAAGCAGTCCTTCAGAGGAGTCAGGATGTCCTCCACCGTCTTGATGCGCAGCGTCCCGCGGCTGAACTCCTCCTTCACAAACTCACTGACACAAACAACATGACAGCACATCACATGACACGACACCACACCACATGACACAAACAACAGCAGACAACACCGCATGACACGACACCACACAGGCAGGAGAGACACACACCTGGGTAAGAACTTTTATATATACACTGATCAGCCACAACATTAAAACCAGTGACTGATTTTAATCTTGTGGTTTACAGGTGATTTTTTATTTTTTACTTAAAAGCCATGAAGCCATGGAAAATAACTGAAACTAAACAATAAGTATTAAATCACATTACTGAAGGTTCACAATGAACTCTTTCAAAACAGGCCACAGATATACTAAACCAGTTGTTTTTATATATTTTTAAACTGCAAGAAAATGGATAAAAACACAAATTCCCACAGTTGAGAACTGGATTAATGTGATTCATTATATTATATTATGAATTTATTATTGTTTGTTTAGATCAGATTTCATGTAAATCAACAGGATTACATTAATTCCTCTTAGTTCATAAACTATTCTAGTGTTTGTTTGATTGGTTGCACATGTGTAACTGTACAGGTGGGTGTAAGTAGGTGTAAATGTACACACTTATATATGTTTGACTTTAAGTATATGCATTCATATGGATGTGAGTAGGAGGTTGCAACAACGGGCGGTTGCGATCGAGTCTTCCTCCGATCAGAAACACGCTGGAGAGATAACAGTTTCTTCTTCATGAGCTGTCCTGACGTTTTCTACCAATTATTCTAAACTTACTAAGTTTGAATCCTTGTTTTTGTTGACGCCTCAGTGACGGGGTTAGCTTGTGTCAAGGTCGGCGTCTGTAGCTAGCACATGTTGTTCTGTCCAGCTGACAGGGAGGGAACGGCTGCAACAAGTTACTGGAGCTGTCCCAAAGCTGAGCGGCCGGATCACAACAGAACACACACTCCAACAGAACAGAACACACACAAGTTATTTTTGGGAATTATTTTGTCAGCCTCTCATGGTCTTATAATATATTCGTCTGTTCTGTTCATCATGAGCAATGAAATAGATGAATTGTGCCTATTTTGACTCGAGGAAGGTTCTATGTTCTACACACAGCAACTGTTCTTTGATAAATATTACGACATAATAAATAATACTATAATATTATTGTAAACAGTGTATATGTTGGAGTCAGTTTCAACATCTGAATTCTTCCATTCAAATAAATGTTGAGAATGATGTGTCACATGAATCATCTTTACAGAGTATATAGGTAATTAGCAGACGGGTGTACGGTTAATATATAAACGTTTGGTTGGTCTGGTCCAAATTAACTGAGAGAAACTGCAACCGAAAGTGTTGCAACCGTCCCCAGTTTCAACTACAGCTTCTTTTTTAAGTTTGTTTTTTCTTTATTCTTCTTTCTCTAGATTAAAAACAAAAGAAAGTTTGTCTGAACTTTAAGCTTAAATATTTACAGTACTGTGCAACAGTTTCAGGCACTTTGGATGTTTAGATTCCTATTCAGACCCAGGTTCCCTCTGCAGAAGGACAACGAGTCCACACAGAGTCACAAAGAACCAGAGGAACCAGGGGTCCTACAGTTGGTCTGGACCCCACAGAGACCTGGTCCCAGCATCGTGGCGTCAGTCTGGGATCAGGCAGGTTCTCCAAGATGCTGGAATAACCGACGTGTACCTGGGGAACTGTGTGCAGCTGGTGGTTTTATGGGTTTATTCTAAAGGAATACTCTCTTCACTTTTAGAGCCTCAAACTTCAGCACTGAACATGTTTACTTCCTGGTCTGTGTGTGAGTGTGTTGTTTTCACCTGTAAGGGTCATTGATGCTCGTGCGGATCATCTCCATCGCCCTCTCTCTTATCCCACAGGTGCTGATGTCCCTCCTCAGACCCAGGTCCAGGATCAGCCCCAGGGGGCAGGACAGGGGGCAGGTGAGCACCAAACAAACCTGGGCCAGCCAGGTGAGAGCCGGCGCCAGCTGGAAGCCATAACCAGAGCACAGGATGTGAGGAGCCAGCTCAGCCAGGAAGAAGATGAGGAAGCCGCTGGTGAAGACCGCGGAGAGGATGGAGCCCAGAGCCCGGTACAGGAGCACACCCAGGACCGAGTGTCCCACCGCACACAGGAACAGCAGAGAGCAGGTCTGCGGTGGAGACATGGGGAAGGGGGGGTAGTAAAAGAGGCATCAAGAAGCAGAACAGTATTTTCATCCCGTCCTCTCCCTGCAGACAGAACTTACCAGGAAGTTCCCCCTCCTCCTGATTGGCTCCAGGCGCTTGGCGGCCCGTTTCTCCTCCTCGGATCCGCAGCTGTGAAGGACATAGAGCTCCACCGGGTCCAGCCACAGCAGGCTCAGGTTCACTGTCCTCAGCAGCCCGCACACCAGCAGCAGCAGCACTATCAGCGCGGCCAGACCCCACGGCGGGATGTGTTCTGCGGGCAGACCCTTGTCGGTGTTTATCCGCAGTCTGTCCGGGCCCACGGAAGCCCATTTCCCTCCGCTCAGCACGCACAGGTGGTAGGTCTGCTCGCCGCCAGCTGCTCCCGCGGAGATGTTTCTCTGCCGGACCTGCACCGTTATCAGCCCGCTGTGCTCCTCGTCCGGGACGAACTCCCCCGTCACCTGGAAAGCGGACTCCTTACGGCTGGACTCCTGCCCGCACGGGTCGGGCGCATCCCCGACCGCCCCGGCCGCTCCGCCTGCTGCCCCTGCGAACGCCACCCACGGCCAGCTTCCATTCAGATCAGTCCCGAAGAGACGGAGCTTGAACGTGGCTCCTTCTGGCGCCGAGATGATCCGATCCTTCATGCACACCAGACGCGCCGGGTCTTCCAGTCGCAGCCCCAGGACCGGCGGAGCTTCCCGGCTGCAGGCGCCGTACCTGATCCCGCAGAACAACAATATCATCAACAGGAACCGTAGACCTGCCAAGCTGGCCACCATATTGGAATTGGTCAGCCTGGCTCTGCGCGGATCATGTGACTGTAGCTCCCCGCAGTGGCCCCGCCCACCTGGAGGGGGTGAGCCAGCCAAACAAAACGAACGCTGCAACTGACCTACGCGGCGGCCATTTTGGCTCCACACACGCAGGCGCGGCGAACGGGATCAACGTCCATTACGGGGCTGGATTCTGAATGTTTTTGGTTTTTTTTATCGCCCCGCCCCCTCCTCGGTGTGAGCTCACAGCCAATGAAACGAGAGAAAACAAGGAGGAGCTCCCGCCCATCTTTGTTAGATTTCATAATAACAAGCCATTCATCACTCTGAGCCTGTTACAGAGACTGCAGCTCCATTGAACTCATGTAAATTTACTCTCAACGTGCAGTTTGGAGGACAGATTCACAGTCTACTCATATGTAGACTGAAGGAAGTGCTGGTTGTAATAGTTCCTACTCTCCACACAGGCAGTGAAGTTATCTCTTAGTCTGATATAAGAGAAAATTCAAGAAGAAAATACCACAGCCTCTTTTCTTTGCAAAAAGTTCAACCAAAGCTGATCTGATTTAGCGAACTTGTGTAAAGTTAAGCTACATTTTGAGTCAGTGTTCCTCTGCTGCAGCTAAACAGTTAGAGTTCTGGCCCATTATATGCCGAGGTCCATGGCCCGAGTCTGGCCCAGATATGGAAGTATATGGACTGGCTATAATCCCCCTGTATTGACTGACAGCTGACAAGTCCAGATGTGGAAGTAGCATCTGACCATAGTGCTGCATATGGGCCAGATTCAGCCCGTGGAACTGGGTGTATAATGGGCCAGAAGAAAACAAGCGTCTGTCCCAAGAATGGGCCAGATTTATTTTGTACTTAAAACACCTGAAAGGTGTCCACTTCCTGCTGAAGAAACCAGGAAGTCACACAGTTCATTTGAGAGTAATTGCAACATATATATATATATATATATATATATGGTAATAGTTAACACACTCCCTCCTGGTATTTTATTTTCAGGATTCTAGCTCAGAACAAAACTTGGACCACATGCTTCTTCTTCTTCTTCTGGCCTATTATACACCCAGTTCCACGGGCCGAATCTGGCCCATATACAGCACGATTCTCAAATGCTGCTTCCATATCTGGACATCTTCCAGCTGTCAGACAACACCAGAGGATAAAAGCCGGAATCTGCCCAGATGTATGTATGTAAGTATAAGAAAATCCACTGATCATAGATTTTATTTTCATTTTAAATGGTGTCCCTGACCTTAAGTCAGACTACTGACAGCTAATATAGCTGAAGTTAGACATCTTTTTATAACCAGTATGAACTGATCATACTGACGTGATTGTTATCTTAAGACAATGTGAAACTCTCATAAACTGAGCTGTACCTTCAGCACAATGCAGCCTGAAGTCATAAAATCAATCTGTGGTGTGTCTTCCCTGTTTGTTTTCTTCATAATAATAATAATGATATATTTGTGAAGTGTTTTCATCTGTGCAGTCTGTGCAGGAGAAGTGCAGCCTTGGTCCTGACAGAGATATAATAACCAGCTTCCTTTGGATAACAGAATTTGAGGATCCACCCACATGTCCTGTAAACATTTCTCACATGAGTTAATGTGAAACGAGTCGAGTCGAGTTTTTCTGCAGCTGAATCAAAGAGACAGATTTTCTGTAGAGAAATATATCTCAGGTTTATTAACCTCATAGATTTCTTCAAATGCCTTACAGGAGTTATATAAAATATTATGTACACATTGCTTTAAGTTACACAGTCCATGTTTGGAAGTGCTCCTCCATCTCTGCTCAACCACAGCAAGAAAAGAACACACAACAACCAAAGTCAAACATATTGCAACAGTGTCTGAAACAGGTATACTGCATCTGTATACACCCCTTGATGAATCCTGCCTGGACTTTAAGTATCGTTGTCGTGGTTACCAATGAGTATTTTTTTATATTTCTGGTCCTTGGATCATCTCAAATCTGGACTGGACTTTTCAAAACCTGAAAAATACTGATTCAATATCTCTCACGTGCAAAGAAATCCTGACCTAAACATGTCTAAAATGGATGATAATAGATGTTTTGGGGCTCTGTTGTCCACATGCATGAAACCTCAGTTCACTTGTGAATGATACACAGTGTGGAAAAGTCACTGGCCTGAGAAACTCTACATCAGAAAATATTTAACCTTCACACAGGTCTAATCATCACACCGCTGCAGGACTAAAAACAACACGACAGGGATGGCTGATAAGTCCTGCCCCCCCCCCCCAACTCAAGTCCCGCTGCAGAAACAAGGTCTGAGCAATAAAAACGGCTTAGCAGATCGGACCGGCAGTCAAAAGGATTGAAGGAATTTCAATACTTTTGAGCGGCGGGTGCGGAGTCAAGATTAGAGCAGGATGAAATAAGAAAAAAAAAAGGGATGCGGAAAAAGGAGTGAAAAGTTCGGAGGAAGCGTGGGAGGAGAGGAGATAAAAGGGGGGAGATACAGGATGGCAGTGGATGACAGGAAAGGGGAAGGATGGGAACGCGGAGGAGGAAAGATTTCATCTGAGAAAAAAATAAATAAAAGCAGTGGTTATCACATCTAATGAGGAAAAGCAACAGAAGATAGAGGAGGAGTAAATTAATCTTTGAGGTCAACTCTGTGCAATGTTTATTGCTATGCGATGCCTTCCTAGTAAAACAATGGAAATCAAAAGGTAAAATAACACCATCTCTCCTTATAAATAGAGCTTCTTTCAACATCTCTCAGCGTCACACGAATGCCCCGTGTTTTCATGTACAGAGTATTTACAGGAATATAACACAAACAGCAATCAGAGAACTGAACACAGTGTTTTCTGGGCAACATGAACCCACTAAAAAGCTGCGTCTCACAGCCGGAAGCCCGTTTCACAGAACCACACCTTCAGGTGCAAAAAACAAAACAAACAATAAATACAATGCTTACAATAAATACAACATTACTAAGTAGAACAATTGTTTTCACATTTCCCAGTACACAAACTGGTAGTCACACAGCCAACCAGTGGCTTCGCTGGAAACCAATTGCTACATGAGACCTATATGAACCAGCAGGCAGGTCTAAGTTCTCCTCAGATACAGGGTAAGGCTAAATGTCCACTGTGTATTTGCATTTAAACGAGCAGGTATTTCCCTCCTGCTGAATAAAATCTGTGGTTTTCACAGAGTGACGATCTTCTCCATGGCTGGATTTACTTATTCTGGGACCCCCGGGGTGAAAAGGAGCTGCCCCCCCCCGCATTAACTCCCCACCCCTGTGCACTACATGCTGGCCCCAGGTTTGCTCTGTGGTCATTGTTTGCATGAAACTTAAATAATAAATGATTTTATTCTTGACAGCAGGATTATCCTCATGACAAGATCTTACGTTAAGAAAATAAACTTTTTATTTCTCTCTAGTGGCTTCAGTGGTGCATTTACACAATCTACAGCTGTGTCCCAGTTCAGGGGCCACATCGTTCGGAGGACATTCGCGGTCTACGAAGGGCCACACCTTCGTACACATACACATAACTTTTCTTTTCACAAAAACTTAAGGCCCTTGTTTTGACAGTTGTACCATTAGCTGTTGGACTGAGCTGAAACCCACTGCTTGTATTTTCGGTGTTGTTTGCTGTCATTGCCCCTGAGGGCAAATAAAGTTTCTTGAATTTAATTGAATAATCACAACTTTTCATTTTTACATGAGAAATATTATGTATTTACTAGTGAGCTTCAGTGGTGTTTTTCACCTTTTGACAGCTGACTGTTTCCCCTACTGAAATGCCTTTATGCTATGCTAAGCTAAGCTAAGCTAAGCGCCTCCTGGATACAAGAAAGCATATTTCCCAAAAATGTCTAACTGTTCCTTTAAGGTAGACCCAGAGTTTACATTAGTCCTGGGTTAAGAAAATGTAAAGTTGTTATGTTCGTAAAGCAAACAACACTGACAGAGACACTTTTGAATGTAAATGTTGGGTTTGAGTTCAGTTCACGAGCAATGAATCATGGGATAGGTTTGGCCATGAAGGATCCACCCGTTGGACGCAGGACGCATTAGAAGGAGCCTTCGAAATGGGACAGACTAGTCACGTCTGCGACCCCTGGATTGGGACACAGCTGATATTTGGATAAGTCAAATTAGCACAAAGCAGCTGACACACAGTGAACCCGGGGCTGCTGGGATTGCACGGCAGGAGCCAGATTTTCCCCGGTCGGTAATCCAGCCTCGATCACGTCACTCACAGAAATCCTCCCACAAGAAGAAGAAATGCTTTGGAATATTCATGTTTTCAGACTTTATGCTACATAACTCACAATGAAGTTTAAAGTGTTTTCAAATCAGTGCTAGCTTATACAACAAGTTTTCACTTGTATCTTTTCAAATAAATATCTTCCACTATATCATCAACAAAATAATTTATCTTTACAGTCACTTAAAATCGTTTCAGGGGTCACTGCATACATAGGAAGGAGAATTTAAAAAAAAAAGAAAAAAAAAAAAGGTAGATTACATGCTAGCAGCTTTAACGTCTCAGCTCAGGCCGTCGCCCGCGGAGAGCGAGGCGTGAGGCGCCGTCACGTTAATCTCTTTATCTCTGCGTCTTCAGTCCACAGGAACACAACCAAACGTCCTCCACCTGCAGTGTCATCCACACACACGTTAAAATGTTCTTCACATGGTGTCAGGCGTCATGTATGTGAATTAATCCCTGGTTTGGAATGTCATATGGAAACACACACACACACACAGACACAGACACACACACACACACACAGACAGTATGTGGAAATGTTGTGGAAAATGTTAAAAACAACACAGTCAGACCTGGTTAACATCAGTGTGAAGACATGCCGTGGAATGTTTTTTTGTCCATTAAATCTCAACAAGTCATTGTGCTGTAGGTTTTCTGAAGATGTTAACCTGATGTTCGAGTGTCAATCCTTAACCCCCGGCTCACCGTTAGCTCACAGGTTAATAAATACACGTGGGAGACACAGGTTGAAATTTGAATCGTCTGACAGTTTGGAAACTTGCTTTCTCGTAGAGTCAGATGAGAAGATTGATATCACTCTCACATCTGTCCGTCAACCAAGTGGCTTCTAGATTAATTAACATATTATATCAAGTGTCTTTAATCCAAACAATAACAGAGTAAAAATGACAAGTTATGTAATTAATCTTTAGGAAATCACTGCTGCTGTTTCCTGCACTGATGGTGTTTCTTCACATCATTGTCATTTTTTCATTAGATATAGAGATATAATGTATTTAGTGCTGAGCTAATGCAGCAGATAACTGTAATAATCTTTAAAAAGGTGGACACAAGGATCAAAATTGGTGTGTTAATCTCTCTGAGGCCATTCATTTGAAAAATCCCTGCCATTTTCCAAGATGGCCGCCATTTCCAGCATAGAATACACATATTTTACCACAGTTTTACCCATTGGACATTTACAATGATTTTGCAATTGAATCCTGTGAGGATGTCAAATGAACAATTCTTAATGTCAATTGAATATTATTTTAAATTATTTAAATTATTTTTATGGTTTTTGGTGTGATTGTTCTAATTGAGCAGGACTTTTAATTTGTAAAATGTAGGTAAACTATTAAAAATTTCACAGGTTTAATTTTTTTTTTTTTTTTACAGTTTGCTAAATTTCACATTCCATGTTGTTAAATTTATGATTTGACACCTGGATCATTCATATGGGAAAATTGTGGGTAAATTTATTCCAAAACCATCTTGGAAATGGTGTCCATCTTGAATTTTTGAACTTTTGTGGCTAACGTGTTGTGCAAAGTTAAGTTCTTGTATCCACATTTGAAAAATCTCTCCTGAAGTATGCAGTTATCTGCTGCGCGAGTAGCCTTTATGCTAAGCCATGCTAGACTAAGCTAAGCTAACTGTCTCCTGGATACAAGAGTGGTATCAATCTTCTCATCAAACTCATCAGTAAGAAAGCATATTCCCCAAAATGTCTAACTGTTCCTTTAAGATAGCACATCAGGCTTTCTGTAGCCTTGAGTTTACGGGTTAAGAAAACGTAACTGTGAGAAGTCGTTTTGTTTGTAAAGTCATAGTCAGTCATATTATACACAAAATGACATTAGGACATAAAAACACACAACAGTAGAACAGTTTGGACTCGGTTTGTAACAGAATCAGGGCTGTAGCTCCACTGAGAGCGCTCACCGACATCAGCTCCTCAGTATTTGTCGGGGATATTACCAACATCAGGGCAGTTAAAAATACATTTTTTTTTAGTTTTAGCTAGTCTTTCTGAACCAGAATAATATTCCTGGAGCTGGATCCCTGAGGAAATCGAGCTCAGTCAGTTTTGTTGATTTATGAGCATTTGTTTGATTTTCAGAGGAATTTACTGAAAGGAAAAGTTCAACACTTCAGGAAATACACTTTCTCACTTTCTTTCCCTTTGAGTCAGGTGAGTAGACTCATGTCAGTGCAGTAAATATGAAGCTAGAGTCAGGGGCCAATTAGCCTAGCTTAGCATAAAGCCCAGAAGCTAAACACACACATCATATCCTGTTTGTTTACTCCGTATATGAAAACAGCAAGTTTTGGTTTTGTCACATAACTCTCCATAAAAGATGATTTTGGTTTATGAACCAAAATGATTAAACAAACAAGATACAACATGTTAAACAGTGAGCTTTTCTTTACCTTTGGATAGAACCAGGCTAACTGTTTCCTACTGTTTCCAGTCTTTGTGCTAAGCTAAGCTAATAGCCTGCTGCCTACAGCTTCAGTGCATGTGAATGGTGTCAATCTTCTCATCTGACTGTCAACAAGAAAGAGAATAAAATGTGTATTTCCAAAAATGTCAAACAACTGCTCCATTATGTAAAAATTGAAGTTGCTACAGCCCTCATTAGAATCAAATCAGTCCAGAGCCTGGTCAGGGTTTTCTTACAGTTTGTCATCAGACTCTTTAATAACGTCGTCTTGTGCAGAAATCCCCTCAGTAAACCTGCACAGCAGATGGTGCTGAACTGGAAATCCAGCCAACTGCTACTGAAAACTGTGAGCATCTCGTCGCTCTGGGTTATTTGGTCTTCATGTCACGTGTAGCTCAGACAAACAGTAACTCAGTGGAAACAAATAAATAAAAAAAAGAAAGTCCAGTGTCATTTCCAACCAAGAGTTTCTGACATCAGCTACTACGTCGGGAACGTCTTCAGATCCAGTTCGGTCTGTTCATTGTGAAGCTTTGAGCGGGAGCCGGCGTCGGGCCGAGCTCCGTTCACAGTGAGGAATATTCATAATAAATAGTGTCTGTGCAGTTAGTGTCATCTGATGTATGCAGCTGGTCCTTCAGCTCAATCTGCAGTGTTTTCAACAACCAAAGAAAGCAAAACATAAATATTATCTCTAAAATATAAAACAACAAATACATATAAATTAATATTATGCAAAATAAATATTTTAATTTAATATCCCTCTTGGAAATAAAATAATTTAAAACGTATTGCCCTGGACAGGAGGTAGGCCAGAAGGACGTCCACCTTTAAAAGACCATACCAGTGTTTTTGCACGTTTTAGCCCATTAATTAAAAATCATGTGTAATTAATGTTTCAGCTGACTGTTTACATTACATGCTGCAGAATTTTAGAAGTTTATTTTTCCCAAACTTTCCAGGCAGTTGTTGATTTCCATTTATTCCCACAGTGTATCAGGAAGAATTAGCAGAAAATATCTGGAGTCTCAAGTGTGCCACTGGAATAATTATAGACTTTTAGAGTTTAATTATGTGTGTTGGTAAACTCAAAGTATACATTTGATATATTTTTCTGTCCTGAAATTATGAATCAATTTAATTTTTAAATGCAAGAGAAAAATCTATCTAAAAACAATATTTATATTATTACTTTTACTTATTATTCTTCCATTCAGATTACACTGTGAGGTGTAATCTGAATTCATTTGTGTTTGTTTTCTTTTAAAGACAAATAAAACCTAAAATGTAATCGAATCCTGCAGCAGGGGGCGCTCCAGTTCTTAATTTACTTTTTACGTTTAAATCAAAGAGAGATTGAGAGATGTTTTAAAAGTTTAAATTAATTATTTTAAATAATTTAAATTAAATTCAGATTTATCCTGGAATGGAAACATGCTTCATCACAGCTCATATCAAATCTGCTCTCACTTCTTTTTTGCCATTGAAATTGTGCAGTTTAAATACACATCAACCTGATGTTCACTATGATGGATCAATGGTGTGACAATTGATTTTTCAAGTCAAATAGAAATGAAGGAAAATCTAGAAAAACTACAACATTTGTTTGTAAAAACAGTCAGGAATATTTAAAGAATCCACGGTTCGTATTAAATGGGCGAAAACGTGCAACATCACTGTTTAACTTTCCCTTCAGACTGAGGAAGCTGTTCGGCTCCGGGACTCTGGTCCGTCAGCTGGTTGTCGAACTGACAAGGAGACACAGATAAACTCACTTCCTCACCACTCAGTCAAACAGACGATCAATAACCAGACCTACCAAACATCACGAAAATAAAACCTTGACTCTTAAAACTTTATAGCTTTTTCTTTTTAGCTTCATAGTTTTCGCTCTTTGGAAAAAGTAAAATGAAATCGAGAGGCTACATAAAAAGAACTTCTCTGAACTGTAACCTGTGTAACAGGGTTGAGGAATAAAGCACTGATCTGGACGCGCCAGGTGGGAATGTACGTTTCCTGTTCATGTCTTACCGGAGATGACTTAAAGGGTCAGTTCACAAAATCTACAAAAACAAAAAGAAACTTGCATTTTCAGCCACAACAAACGATTATTTTCTCCATAAAATATCAGAAAATAGTGAAAAATATCTGTTTTAACTCTTTTAACTCCCCACAGCTCAAGGTGACGTCTTCAAATGTCACGTTCTGTCGGACCAACTGTCCAACAACCAAACAGATGTTCGGTTTATTAAACAATACGACAAAGAAAAGTATTAAACTGTCACATTTCAGAAGCTGGAAACAGAAAATATTTTGCATTTTTCACTCAGAAATTCGACTGAGTGATTCTCAAAACAAACGCCACAGAGATATTCATGCTGGTGTCTTTGCTAAAATGCATTTCAATTTTAGTTTCACTTTTCTAAAAACACTGTTCCAGTCATTCTGGGTAATCCTCAGATTCTCTGTCAACAGATTTATAGCTTTTAGTTTTTAAAATCAAAATGTGACAAATTAAATTTCACCTCTCTGGAGGCAGAAAATCTCAAAACTTGGTCGAATGAAACTAAAACTGAGTTAGAAAATGAGTCTTTTTGTAATTTGTGTGAACTGATCCTTTAAAAACAGACAAAACACACACACACACACACACACACACACACACACACACACACACAGACACACACTCACACACCCTGTCTACATGTCTAACCATACTTGCTAGTGTTCCCTGTTCCTCCTTTGTTTCTGCTCTAGACTTTCAGTGTTGGGGGGGGGTCATGCAGGAGGGGGGGGGGGGGGTAGAGGATCTGTTTACAAAACACACCATCATGTGCTGATCCCAGTTTCCCTCAGACGTCTAGAGAAAAGTTCAGAGGACGAGCAAACAGGAAAGAAGTAGTGCCATGTGTGTCGAGTGACAAAGGTAGTTTACTTACTTTACTTTACTTGACTTTAGTTAGATGGTGCTTTCAGTGTGTGCCTGACTGATGGTGTGAACGTGTGTGGTATGGGTGGGGTTGGTGGGGGGCCTGGGTGGGGGTGGGCCTGCGGGGGCCCACGCAGTTCTGCTGCTCACTGAGCAGAGTGGTGGTCTCTCCCGGCCCGTTCTCGGGGCCGGCAGAGGGCGGGGACGGCTGGGACTTGGAGGACAGTGTCGGGTGAGGGTTGAGGGTGCACGGTGCCGTACTCATGGAGGACGGGGGGGTTTGGGAGAGGGAGGTGTGGTTGCTCGGAGGCGGGGTGGCCTGCGGCAGAGACTGGCTCGGCCTGCGGCTGGAGGAGGAGGAGGAGGAGGTGGTGTGGGGCAGGGTGGTGCGGCTGCCCGGCGGCGTCGGCTGAACGTTAGACGGCGGGCGCTTAACGGGAGGCGTGGCCAGCGGCAGTGGAATGCGCGTCCCCGGTGGCGTCACAGGCGGCAAAGAGACAGACGTGTCCAGACGAGCGTGGCTGCCCTCTGGAGACTGCGGCGAGCTGTCCAGCCGGGACGCCAGGAGACCGTTCTGGTACTGAGCACGAGTGACCTGAGGGGGGGCGACACAACAATGTTAGTATCGGAAAAGAAATCATTTGGATTTTATTATATTTTAATATAGTTAATAATAATATAATCAAATAGTTAATAGTTCATTATCCCTTCATTACCTGCGAGTTCAGAAATCTACCTTTTTCCTGACGTCTCTAAAATAACGTTGACAACAGCACATCACTATGACGACTATGAGTCATAACTTCAAAAGGAAAACGACTGTCAGTCTCCATCAAACTACTCACGTGAGATGAAGCAACAATTTACTGGAATATAGTTGAACTTTTTTAATTTAATTAAATAAATAAATATCTATATATTAAAAAATTTGCAATATAAATAAATAATAATCTGGCAGCAGTGCTCATTAAATTAATGGCACGAAAAAATGTATGTGTGCTGGTTAGTTAGTTACGAATGGAAACTCTTATGAAATACTATCGCCACATTTTAGTTTATCTTCACTTAAAGCTCCTCCAGTGTAAAGGCCTCTGTCCATGTGTAGTGTGATTATAGATCAGCTCTAGCTTCTATATTAATACTGTGAAAGTATCAAAGCCTCAGTCCACAGAGAAATGCACACAGCCTGTATTCAGAAACTGAGCCTTAAAACCAGCCGTCAGGACTTCTGGAACTTTGTGATGTCACAACAAAACAGTCAGCAGTCAGCCAATCCGAAGAGAGGCTCAGAGCCTCCTCTCTTCTGATTGGCTCACCGACCTGTTGTTACTAGAGCTCCAGAGAGAAGCCTGAGAGAGGAGATGTGAAACTACACTGAGATGGTTTTTATATCTTCTGATGGATCAACACTTCAGATAAAACACAGAAGAAAAAAAACAGACATAATAAAGACAAAATAATGTTAATTCATAATAAATATTTTGCATAAAAGGAAAATATACACAGCTGCTGTTGTTCAGGGACTCTGGGGTCTTAACTCCGCACATCCTCCAGTCTTATAAACTGACCTGGGATCAGTTAAAGGAGAGTTACCTTGACAAACTGCAGGTCTGTGAGAGCTCGTACACAGAAGTCTGGTATGTACTGGAAGGGCGTTCCTGGGATCTGAGTGATGCTCCCGCCGACGGAGCCGCTCTCTGGAGCGCGCTCAGTGCAGCTCAGAGACGCCGAGCGGTTGAGGTTGCCCCCGTGTGACGGAGAACGGAACTCTGGGATTGACAGAGAAGAGAGTGAGGGTGAGGTCGCAACAAAAGAAGAAGAAATGGAGATCACACACACACACACTTAAAGCAGGAAAACACACCAAGCAACAACAGAGAACAATGATTGAGTCAGAAAACAGGGAGAAAATGAAATCAGCCCACTGATGATGACGATGGTGAAGAGCTGAGGGCACGACGAACACACTGCAACACACACACACAAACACACACATTAACGTCGATGAGATGAGATTAGTTAATGCCACAAACATGCCATGTGACGAGGCAAAGTGCATCGTTTGAGCATTTTACGGCCACGGCGGGACAGTCTGAGCTCAGAGGAGGAACCTCTCTCATTGGCTGGTTTTAGTGATGTCATGGAGGTGGTGACGTAAGGGGGGGGGGCAGGAAAGCATCCCTATGCTCTGTCTTGGAGGGTTGTGTTAGAGGACGGAGACGCCGGTGATGATCAGAGAACGACAGTTTAAAAGGAGGTGGGAGGTACGGAAGAACATTTGTGCCAAAAAGGAATAGTTTGACACTCTGGGAGTTGTGCTTATTAGCTGAGAGTGAGATGAGACGATCGATACTTCCTTCATGTCTGTGTGGCAACTTTGGAGCTACAGCCGGCAGCTAATTAGCTTAGCTTAGCTTAGCTTAATATGAAGGCTGAAAATAGAGGAAAAGAAAAAACAAAATCAACCCAGCAGCACCTTTATAGCTCACTAATTTGTTGACATTATCTTTTTTGTTTCTGTTTGAATAAACAAACAAGGTACGTTGTGTTTATTAGAGGTTAGATGCTAAGCTAAGCTAACTGTAGCTTCATATTTAGCGCACAGACATGAAAGGTTTCGTTCTTCTCATCCAGCTCTCGGAAAGAAAGAAAGAAAATGAGCTTAAGTCTCTAAATGACGAACTATTCCTTTAACCGAAGGTCTACAGTCAGATGATCCGTCTCCTCCTGTTGATACGTCACAGGAGTTGTGATCAATATCTGACCGTAGATCAGTGGTTACGGGGGGGGTGGGGGTGGTGACAGGGTTAACAAATTAGGAGCATCCAGAACCCCGTCCAGCAAGGTCCTCCCACTCTCCTCACGGTGTAATGATGCAAGACTGGGAGGAAACACCTGCCTCCATCCTCACCTGTGCAGCTGAACCGAGTGCGTGCAAAGACTATTAATTACAGACTAATCAATTATAGTGTTGATTAATCAGTTATCTGACGGAACAGAAATGTGATGATTCTGAAAGTCTTAGTCAGAGATTTCAGCTGCATCTGAGAACATCATGTTTACTTCCATCCACTGACAATCTTATTTTCCAAATTAGTATTAATTTTAATATCTAACTATTAATATTTCAGGTCATTTATCAGGCAGTAATTCTGTAGCTCAGTGCTGAGGATTCGCTGCTTTCCTCCATTTTAAATGTTTGTAACTTCAACGTCTCTCGTTTTTAAACTGCACTTGAAGATGGATTGTAGGAAAATTAGATTTTCACTATTAAACCATGTGATGAAAACAAAAAGAAATAGTATTGACAGACTAGCGGATACTTGAAACAATTACTCTTCATCAACACTAAAACAGAAACAAGAAAATGACTTAGATTCTCCATTTTAAATAACAAAACACCAAAATATCAGATTTTTCAAAGTAAAAACTCCCAGCTCTACAAACCATGAAACTATCAGACAGGCCTTTGTTTTTAATCTTCATTCTGAGTGAGGTCAAAGGTCATGCAAAGGGCGTCTGGCTCAGAGAAGCAGAAGAATGTTAAAAGCCAAATTAACTATGAAAAACTGAAGCTACATCTGTCTGTATTCTTGTACTTGCTGGATCAGGGCTCTGAAGATGATGAAAAAAAATGTATAAAATGGTAAAATCGGATTAAAAGAGGACCCCCCCCACTTCCCCCTCCCTCCTCCCTCCCTCCCTCCTCCGGCCCATGTGAGTGTTTACCTGGGAAACGAGAGAACAGAGAAAACCTCTTAAGAGAGAGGCGTCGTGGAGGGGGGGACGCCACTGACGGGGAGAGAGGAGGGGTGACGGCTGAGAGAGAGGAGGGGGGAGGGAGGGGGCAGAGAGAGAGAGAGAGAGAGAGAGGAGCTGGTTTATTTGTGTAGATCACATTTCCTGCTGGAGGTCGAGCGCAGCGCTTCAGGTGGAAGGTTTATATTTTTACTCGGCAGCTGATTCCTAATCCTACAACACATCTGAGTTTATCAGTAGAAGTAAGGAAGCACCTCACTTACCTGCTACATAATGTCCTAGTTACATTTTCTTATTATTTACCTTATAATTAAAACCACGATGCTCAGGCCTTTCTGGGAAATAACAGCTAAAATAACAGACACATTTTAGGAAATTATAAGGGAAGTTTCCTGGAAATAAGATGGAATATTTGGGACCCGTGATATAAAGCGTTACCGGTTCTTCTAACAGAGGAGGTTAAGTTAAAATCCGAGGACTGGTATTTTATATTTATTGTTCTTTTATCCGTTTTTATACTCGGCTGTTTTTCTTTTTTAACTAACATGCACCAATCAGGAATAGCACTCCTCATTTCATTGTATTCTAAAAGCAATGACAATAAAGGCTTTCTATTCTGTTCTATTCTGAAACTGCAGGCTGGGACTTTAGGATGAGACATGGTGACGTGTTTGACGTAAACATCTGAAGCTGCACATGCACAGACACTGAGCTGCACAATGTTCATAATAACATGAAGCACAGAGAGAAGAACAGAAACAGGTCGACAGAGAAGAAGAAGAAGAAGAAGAAGAAGAGAAACATTTCATCAGCAGTAACGAGGTTGAACCACCAGGAGGCGCCAGAGCCACGACTTCATCACTGAGTCAGTAACTTCACCAAACAACCAAACAACATGATGCTGCCGGAGCTCCGACACTGTGGCCGTCTGAGCTGGGATTACATCATCCAACACCTGCCACCTTCTTTTATGTACAAGACACACACGACCTCACACACACACACACACACACACACACACACACTGACACACACACACACTGACATCACCTCCTCCTGTAGGTAAAAACCTGCATCACTGTCTGTGTGTGAACTCTGCATAATCAGAGACATGGAAAACAGCCTCTTATGTAACTGTGCGTTTGTTGTCTGTGTTCATGTTTGTCATCACGGCACGTCATCCGTTTCCCTGCCGACTGAACGCATCCACGTACAGATCACACTTTAAATTCATCATCAGTGACGTGAAGATAAAACATGAGCTGAAGTGTGTGACATTAAATATTTGTGGATTTTTAAGGGGAAAGAAAGATGTTGATTCCTGTTCCGAGGAAAAAGAAGTGAAAAGTTTCCCTAGTAAAATGACACTTGGTTCATGGGTCTCACGACAGATTCTTTAAAGTACGGCAGCCGTTTGTCACATACTTAGTTAACGAACTGTAAATGGATCTATCTCCTGTCAAAACAGCTGGAAATGTGACTGTAACCACAACCTTTGTTTGTGTTGTCTGTCTTGTGTAACTGTCCATTTTGAATATGGTTTGTTTTAATTTGCAGTTGATGTATTTGCTGTATCATGTATCTGTTGTTGATCATCGTTTGTACATCATGCGTACCGATATTCAAATAAAGAAAGTGGTCAAGAAAAATAACACTTGGTGTGACCTGATTACAGAGTCCGAGCTCTCTGTCCCCACGTTTCCTGTCGGCCTTCACTGTCCTGTCAAATTAAGGCATAAAAATGTCCAAAAAAATGACTTCAAAGCTTTTGTTATTGCAGATTCTGCAGGTTTTTTCTAAACTCAGCCGGCTCTAAAAAAACAGATGATTAAACATTTTTTGAAATGACACTAAAAGTCACTGAGTGTGAAATGGACTTCATGGCCCAAAGCTCAAAGAAACATTTAATAATCTGCTCTTTTTTTTAAAAGAGTTAGATGAGATGTCACTCTCACGTCTGTGGTTAGCATAGCTTAGCGTCCCGACTGGAAACTGAGGGGAAGGGTTATCCTGGAGTTTTATGAGGTCGCACTGACCTTGACCTTTGACCTGTGACCACTGTGCCAATATGTCAATTATCACTTTAACTACAGTAACTGTCCCAGACGTTTGCCTCCGTCCTCTATCCATCCCAGAAACAAGGAAGGAAAACAAACCACCAACACGGCCATCTTTACCCATCATGCACCAGACAGAGAGCGGTGAAGTGGTTCCTGTCTATTCTAATCAAACTGCATGTCAGTCCTTTCAAAATAAAAACAGTCTCATCTGCAAACTAGATTTTTTTGTATTTTTGAAAGAGTTATATCGTGTTTATGTGTGTGTGTGTGTGTGTGTGTGTGTGTGTGTGTGTGTGTGTGTGTACTGTCTTACCCAGTGACGGTGTACTTAGAGCCATGACTCCATAATATGAGAACGGGCCGGTTTCAAACTTCATGTTTTCATTTCCAGCTTCCACCTCCACTCGCCCCTGAAACACACACACACACACACACACATACACACACACACACACACACACACACACACACACACACACACACACATAGACAGGAGGACATTTTGTTTAATAAGCTCATTATTATCCGACAGTGCAAATTACATCTGTGTGTTTGTGTGCGTCCTCTCCTGTGGCAGTAACACAAACACTTTGACATCCCATAAATATTACATTCTGCCACAGGGGCACCAGTCCAGGGTCCAGTATCTCTTTACCACACACACACACACACACACACACACACACACACACACACACAGTGGAAGAGGAGCAGCTGTGCTCAGGTTGCATCCTGAGTGTCTGCGGTCACTTTATCCACACCTCAGGTGTCGACAACAAAACCTGTGTGTTCTCTCACTCTCTCACACACACACACACACACACACACACACACACACACACACACTCACTGAGAGATCACAGTAAACAAATAAATATAACACCCACTTATCTACAGTTTCCATCCAACCCTGGACGTCCTGTTTGTGAACTACGGTGGCCCAGACAGGTCAACACAATGCAAGAGGCACTACACAACACAAATTGTGGCTTTTGTATTTGTGGTGACCCTTCTGGGCCACCGTAGTTTATCAGACTCAAGGTTAAATAACAGGAACACAAAGTACGATACCTCGACATGAGGATTTATTACAGGTGTTAGTTTTAACCAGCTGTACCTAATAAACTGCTCACTGAGAGTGTGTACATGCAGCTAAATGCACATAGTCACCGTTTTCTGAAAATCATGTCTGCAAAGAGTTTATAATAAAAAATAATAATACATTTAATTTATAGGCGCCTTTCAAGACCCTCAAGGACGGTAAATAATAATATGCAAATCCAAGACATAAGATACAGAATAAAGGAGAATAAATATAATAACATAAAAATAAATATGATGAAACTGTGGTACTGGAGTTTAACAGAACTGGCACGTTTGAAGAGGTGTGTTATAAACTGTAATTAATGGATTTATTAATGACTAACACATCAATTACTCATTCTTTATAGGTCAGTTATAAGTCATTAATAAGAGCTCATTTTGGGTTGCCAGGTTGTGGAAAATCCTCCTCCAGCACTGAACACTTGAATCTTTCCAGCTCTTTAGTTCATTAGAGCGGCAGTTTGACCGTTTGTTTATCTTCTGACAATAAACATTAATAAACTGTTTATCAACATTATTGTGTATTTACTTCATGTCAACGTTAAAACTCTTTATTCTCTTTATTCCTTTATTTCATTTGAGGCAGTTTACGACATAATGCAGCTCTGTAACTAATCACTGTATTTATGGTTTATTCATATTTTATTTCATTTGATCGAATCTTTATTTTCTTCCATGTGACTGATTTCATTCTGGTTTTTATTGATTTTTTTATTGACTGTTGTGCCTCGTTTACCTGGCTGATACATATTAAAAAGTACATGTAAGGTACTTTACGTGTGTGTGTGTGTGTGTGTGTGTGTGTGTGTGTGTGTGTGTGTGTGTTGAGCGTCCTCCCTCCCTGCCTCTTTGTTCTCCTCCTCTTCCTGGTGCAGAGGAGGGATTTACTGACTGACAGCGTCTCTCCTCTCCTCTTCTTCTCTTCCCTCCATCTCTTACTCTCGTCCTCTAACTCCTCTCCTCTCTTTCCGTCTCATCGTTCGCCGCCTCTCCTCATCATCTGCTTTTCCCCTCTTCCATCCTCCTTAACCCTTCGATCCCCTCCCCTCTTATGTAAGAGGATGTATTAGTGAAGGTCGAGCAGCGTGAGGAGGAGCCCCTCTGACACGGGTGGGGGGGGGGGTGGGGGGCTTCCACCAGACGGAGACAAAGACGACTCATTATACTGTAATTATAATCCTGGATCAGTCGTCTTCTATTATTCTATGATTGATGTTTATTAACAGAGACATATTTGATTTATTCCTCTATAATCTTTCAAGGACGTTTTATTTTGAAACTTTCCTGCTTCCTGTGCTTAACACTAGAGATACACATATATTCAGATCCTTGAGTCCACGTGGACATTTGTGCCAGATGTGCTGAAATTCTCTCCAGCTGTTCCTGACATAAATGGGACGAAGGTGAGGTCGCAGTGGCCTTGACCTTTGACCTTTGACCACCAAATTCTAAATCAGTTCATCCTCGAGTCTGAGTGAATGTTTCTAAAAAAACTGAAGAAATTCCCTCAACGTGTTACTGAGAACTGACTCAAAACCTCCTCAGTGGTGGTGTGACCAGGAGCTCATTCTTAATAGATATGTCAAGTTATTGATGATCAATCACTTTGTAATCAGAATCAGAATCAGGTTTTCACATACGAGGAATTTACTTTGGTGTTTCAGTCCAAAACAATAAACGTAAAAGAAGAAAAAGAAATAAAGAAAGATGAAGCAAAGGTCAGAGAGCTTAAATATAAACAGAAACATTTTAGAATAAAATGGATTCCCTGAACGTGACGGTAAATTAATGTAAAAGAACAAAGACGTCAGTGATTCTTTAATCACCTTCAGTCAGGCGATTCTTAAAAAGGTCGACGCGTTTAGCACCTGCATGTGAGTTAATACCGCCTCCAGACTGACGCAGCGACCTGGAATAAACCTGTGTTTGTCACCAGTTTAAAACAGGTCAACCTGCGTTATCCAATCGGACTCCATTAGGACCCGGCCACGGACACGTTAAAGACGGGAACCAGCTGCTCCGATCTTCATCTACACTACAGTCATGAGCAAACATGATGTATTCTAACAGTGTGTGTGTGTGTGTGTGTGTGTGTGTGTGTGTGTGTGTGTGTGTGTGTGTGTGTGTGTGTGTGTGTACCTGCAGAATGAGGACGAAGTAGTCCACAGGTTTACCCCTCTGGTATAGGAAGTGCAGCGGCGAGCGTTTGTCGTTTTCGTTGAACTTGACTTCCTGGATGACGTCTGGGTGTCTGAGGATCCTCAGTAAGACTTTCTCTGTGATCTGGAACGGGCTGAACAGGCTCACCTCTGTCGGGGGGGCAAGGGGGGGGGGGGGGTTGTCGGAAGAAAACAAACAAACAAAATAAACAAACAAAAATTAAGTTAATGAGAATGAAAGCCAATATTATTATATATTATTATTATAATATTAATATATATACATCTACTGACTGACACGTTCTCATGTATTTTTGTCATTATTATTATTTTAATTAATTAATTAATTTCTGTTGTTCTTGTATTTTATTATTTTTTTAGTTGTTTGTTTTTCAATTAAATAGGAAAACGAATTTCTTTGTGCATTTAAAATCAAGATACATTTTCACAAAGATAAACACCAACAGATTATTTAGGTCTTTCAGAAACTTCACTCCAGCGTCACCGTGTGTCCGGGGTTAATCGCTGGTCTGCTGAGCAGCTGTGAGATTAGCCCCCGCCCCCTCAGAGCTCACCTGTGGCCAGGAAACGATGAGCCGCCAACATGAGCTGAGGAGAGATCTTCACCTTACTGTCGCTGTCATGTTTGAAGGCAGAGAAGTCCCGTTTGCTTTTGTTGGGATCCACCTTCTTCCTGTTCCTGTTATCAGCTGCAGAAGGAAGAAAGAAAGAAAGAAAAAGAAAGAAAGAAAGAAAGAAAGAAAAAGAAAGAAAGAAAGAAAGAAAGAAAGAAAGAAAGAAAGAAAGAAAGGGTGTCAACAATAACCCCCTCTAAAACCACAACTTCTCCTTTTTTAAACTTTACTTTATCGCATTAAGCCAGGCTAGCTGTTTCCACTTGTTTCCAGTGTTTATGCTAAGCTACGCTAACTAGCCGCTGTCTGTAGCTTCACAGAATGACATCGTCTCAGTTTCTCCAGCGTCGTCACGATTTGCTGCTTCTCTCTGTTTTACTGTGAACGGAGTCTCTTGGACTTCTGGAACATTTGAAGATGTTATTTTTTTGACAGTTTCATTATTTCTTTTGTCATACAGACAAATCGATTAGTCAATTAAATGAAAAACTAATCGACCGATTAATCGATAATGAAAATAATTGTTAGTTTGCAGCCCTGGTTTATAACAGTGTCAGACTTTAAAGACCCCCCCCCCCCCATCACTGCTTCTACCATGGAGTGTGTGTTTACATCTGTATCTGTGTCTCGTTCGCTGACTCACTGTAAAGGTCGGATTCATCCAGGATCTCTGACTTGATGATCTCCTCGATGACGTCCTCCAAGGTGACCAATCCCAGCACCTCGTAGAAAGGATCTCCCTCCCCCTCGTTGTTCACTTTCTGGACGATGGCCAGGTGGGATTTACCTGGCGAGGAGAGCGAGAGAGAGAGAGAGAGAGAGAGAGAGAGAGAGAGACGGGAGAGAGAGAGAGCTGAAGGTTACCACCAGCCGTGAGAACACTGCTGAAAAGTGTGGATTCGACATTTTAGGATTTTATCCTCCACACACTCTGTGAAGAACTCAACTGCCAGGAAAGTAGGGCAGCATCAAACACGAGTGGGGGGTGGTGAGTGGGTGGTGGGGGTGGGGGGGGTGGGGTTCACTGCAGCTGCCTGCCTCCTAAACTTCAGCAGCTGCCCTTCAAACAGATTCAGCCCCCGCAACATGAAAACATCCTTTCTTGTTTCTGTGTTTGGGAGGCAGCGCCAGCGTCAGTCAGGCTGCCGTTGGATCTGTCAGTGGATTTATTCTTCCTTGCTGCGAGGACAGACTGACGCCTTAATATAGCCCCAACTGAACTAAGAGCTTTGGAGGGAAGAGAGTTGAGGAGGAAATGCCAAACCAGATGAAGAGGAGAGACTGGAGGGAGAGGCAGAGGAGGAGGAGGAGGAGGAGGAGAGCCGAGAGGGATGTGCAGAGAGAAAAGAGAAAACAACAGATTAATCCAGTCCTGCTCGGCGCCTGAGCTCGCCTCATTAAAACACCACATAAAACCGTTTGGCAACACACCTGACATGACGTGGACACCGACGGCTGCCAGTGAGAAAACACTATCAGGTCAACGGAGTCACAGTCACTGAGGCTTCACCACACCTTCATCTGTCTACATGTGTGTCGTATGTTGTGTGACGAGTCTCCAAACGTGTCCCAGTGACTCGGAGACGAACGCTCTGCTGTCGAGTCATGTGTCAGTTATTTTGTGTGTGACCGACACAAAAAAAATAATAAAAGAAGGAAAAAACGCTTTATTTTAAAAATCTAACCTGATGAAAAACCTGCAGGAAACTGAAAACAGTAAGACGTCTGCTCTCAATATATGTTTTTATATAATACACACACATGATGATGAAATAATCACCAACACCATGACTGAGTGTTTCCACCTTGAACTGCAGTGAACCCATGACGGTCGGATAAAAACAGATTCAGGGTTTCATACGTCACAAACCTCAGGAACCAATCCTGTCAACTTGTTGGGACGGGGGGGGGGTGGAGCTAAATCAACCTGAAACCTTCTCAGTAAAAAGAGAGAGAGTTAGCATTAGCAACTACTGCTAACACTGTGTCAGCACTGACAGTTACAAGCTAACAAAAACAAACAATAAAACAAATTAAAAAGATGTTAACTGTGCTAACTGTCAGTGGCTGACACAGTGTTAGCAGTAGTGCTAATGCTAACTCTCTCTCTTTTTACTGAGAAGTTTCAGGTATTGATTTTAGCCTCCACCCCCCCCCCGTCCCCACAAGTTGACAGGATTGAGTTCCTGAGGTTTGTGACGTATGAAAACCTGAATCTGGTTTTTTATCCACCGTTCATGGGTTCACTGCAGTTCAAGGTGGAACACTCAGTCATGAGTGTTGCGTGATTATTTCATACATATGATTGTATTATATAAAAACATCATTATTGAGAGCCAGACGTCTTACTGTTCAGTTCCTGCAGCGTCTTTCATCAGCGTTTAGATTTTTAAAATAAAAGCGTTTTTCTTCTTTTTATTATTTTTATTTGTTGTCGTCACACACAAAAGATAACTTCACACAATGACTTCGACAGCAGAGCGTCTGTACTCCGAAAGTCACTGAAGGACACGTCTAGGAGAAAACTCGCGTCTACA